CGTGTTCGTTTGCCGTGGACTTCGTGCGCTACGGCTACTTCTCTACACTAGCAGAATTTGAGCGCATTTGGTCCGATCATGCCATCATGCCAGACCGGCCAGACCGAAGAACAAACCTCCCAAGAAGGTGCGACCGGGAATCTTTCGAGTGAGATTTGGGGTTCAAACGAACCTCTCGGGCATCTTGAGGTTTGGGCCAATCTTCAATTAACTGCTTGCACGTGCATGTTGATAAGAAAGCACTAATCAACACCAACCCTGGGATTCAAAAATCAAGTGGGGATTGGGGATTTGATTTAACATGAGACGGCGCACCACAAAATCAAATCCTTGACTTTCGATTTGCCACAAATACAGTAGCCCGAAGTCGCTTCTTGATTCACACATGTCTCCGCTTACGTACTATCTACCTTTTCACTCAAAGTCATATCAACAACAACTTTGTGGCTAACTAACCTGACTTGCGCTTGTTGGATCATAGCCAGGTTTCGGTCTCATTGTAGTTGCCACTCATCAACTGCCCAATGGTCGTCATCATGCCAGTCATTACCTGCGTGTAAACGGTGTCACTGCCAAAAAGGCTGTTCCGAAAACCCCTAAGCCCCCGACAGTGTTTGATGCTCATAGACTCATCGTTTGTAGCTTCAAACCCTAAACCTCCAAACACATGCCCGGCATACATCCCCAACTCCCGGTCGCCTCAAAGAGTGGGCCCCTACTGGCGGTATATTGCTAAATCAGTTTGGAACATTGCCAGTGCGTGATGATTTCAATGGGAACCGTCCACAAAGCCTTCGCAGCCGGGAAGGGTGAACAGAGTTTGCAAGGTCCAACGCGTTGCCCTTGGATGAAGTCGGACATCAGCCAGGGTATTCTGGGACACCAAATGGGTTTGGGGTGGGTATCGGTCTCGCTCTCGCGGAGGGCCCAAAAAGGTACCAGAACTAGCCCCATCTATGCACTCCGTTGCTACCTGCTTCTGTTGCCTCACAAAGAGATGAACAGCAATCAGGGTGTGTGTTGCCCCTCACAAAAATGACACACACGAAGTCATCCTCGCAAAGCCTGTAGGCGGATGTTTCAACATGTTTAAACATATAACAAATCACTTGACTTGGAGCTATCCTGACCCGCCCAAGTACATTGATAGAATCACTGGGTTAGGGCGACTGGCGAGGCATCCCGCGGCCATTGTGACTCTGTGTGTGTGTGTGTGTCATTGTTTGCTGCTTGTTTGTCCTTGTTGTATTGTCAGGTGTTGCATGTTGTGGTTATGTTTTGGATTGTTTTGGTGTTTTTGTGCTGCCATTCTGTGTGTGTGTGCGCCTGTGTGTGTGTGTTTCATTGATTACTTTCTGCCGTCATGTCGGGCGGTTCCTTGCTGTCTGTGTCGTTGTTTGTTGTCCGCTTTGGTGTTTGTCACTGAACCCGCTGAAGCCCTGCAGCAAAGGTCTCGATAGGTTGGGCTGTCTACGTGATGTTTCATGTTGGCATGGTCATGGTCTGTCTCATTGTGTGAGGCCTGCTCTCGTCTGTGTCATCGTTGTCACATGCTATGTCATGCTTGGTAGGGACAAAGGTTCTCGGCCGGGCCATTGGTGGGAATGCTGGGTCGGGCCAACTGTGTCTTGGACCTCGCGGAGCTCGCAGTGATCATGTTTGGTGTTGTCAGTGCGCGCGTGTGTGTGTGTGTGTCACCCCCTGTACCAAAGGGTTCAATGCCACTGTTTCCACTGCCACCACTCAACAAGGCAGGGGGCTCACGGGTCTGTTCCTGGCGTGAGCCAACAAAGCTCCAGGTTCAGACTAGGATATCGAAAGAGGACGCTCTTTCGACGTACCTGCGCCAACTTTTGACCAAGCCGTTCCAATCTCCTTTGTTTTGGTTCCATGGTGGTTCATGATACTTCCCACAAACCTTTTCCCCCGCCGCTTTCAGCTGCCGCGCGCGGACCGCTTGCGACTGCACTTCAACACGATGTTCAACAATACTGTTTTTGCGGACTCATGCACCTTTCCGTTCCCTCACCTTCCTTCTCAGCGTGGGAACTGAGTGTAACTGAAAACCCATGTCAGAGTGTGTTGTGTGTGGGTCGTTGCTTCTTGTCAGTTGTTGGTGTTGCCAATGTGTGTGTGTGTGTTGTATGTGTCATTCCTTCTTGCCTGTTGTAGTGTTGCGTGTGCTTACATTAGGTGCTGTCATTGTGCTTTGTCAGTCTCAAGGTTCGTTGTCTGTTGTTGTGTTTGTCAGACTGCACTTGGTGATGCGCTGCAGCCGCATCACGGTGGGGTTGTCTATCTAAAATTGAACTAGAAGCACCTAGAATCTAGCAACCCGTCCTGTCGAGAGGATCACTACAGTTGCGATGATTGGTGACACTGAGTGCTGTTTTGTGTATGACAAGGTTCAGGCGAACTTATCCGTGGGGCCCGATGGCTCCTTCATGCTGCGTGAATGCAGCGGCTGATATTGATATGTACTGTGATTGAATCAACGAATAAATGAGCCAGCGGGCGAAGGGGAGTGAGTCAAGGAGCGAGTGGCTCACTGAATGACAGATTGAGTTAGTGAAGAATAGGGAGGGCTATTTTGGGGGGAATGGTTTTTGTTGAGTTTGGGGATGTTTATTGGATCTGCTTCTGACTGCTTTTCTGGCTTTTGCTTGCTTCTCTATGACCTCTGCTGCTTTTCTTGCTTTTCCTTGCTTCTCATTGCTTCTGTGGTTTCTCTCGCTTTTTCTGCATTTCTGTGCTAGTCTTGCTTTTCCTTGCTTTTCATTTCATCCTCGTGACGGCTTTTTCTTTCTTTTCCTGCCCCTTTTTGCGCTTGGTGTGTTTTTCTTCGCTTTTTTCCTCTATTTTCCTTCTTCTCGTTTTTTGTTTGCAGCATATTGATTCCCTATTGTAGTGTTTCTTTCCTTCTATGGTCTTTGTTGCTTTCATTTTGATGAGTTGGTGTTCAATCCTTGAGTTAGTGTTGCTTTATGTTTTGTTTCCTAGCTTTGTATGCTTTTTCCCCCACTCTGTGTTTTCCAATTCTTTGATTTGCTTCTGGTGATGTTCGCAGTATTTGTTTTGGTTCTTTTTGCCTGATGACACGGGATTTATACACCCGGATACAAAGGGACAAGGCAAATGAATTGGGAATGTGTGAGTTGCATGTATGTTTTCTGAATCCTATGTCATCCGAAGGTAGTATATATAGTTCATTTTTCCAGTTTCACTGAAGGAAGTATAGAGAAATCACGACCGCACAAAACAAATCCCCAAACGCAACGCTTTTCCAGTTTTACTGAGGAACTATAGAGAAACCAGGACCGTAAAAATAATTTCCCCCAAACGCAACAAAAACATATTCCCATATAAAAACGCTCCCGTGAAGAATTGGTGGATGAAGGAGTGGGTGAGTGAAGTAGTGAGTGAATCAAATGAATCACTGTCCGAAGGAGTGCACTAGCCCACTGCAAATGAGTGCGTGTGCGAGCGGGAAACTGATGGAGTGAAGAAAGGAGTTATTTGAAGGAGCAATAAAGTGGTCTGCCCTTTGGGATGCCAAGCGGCGTCAATGAAGGATGGGCAGGCGTCGCACAAGCAGCTCAAGATTGGGACCAGCTGCGACATAGGATTCTCATCCTCAAGCTGAAAACACTTTTTGGAAAACTTCCAAAATCTGCCAGACTCCCGGAGGTTGGGGGAAATTACTTTGGGAGTTCGGACTCCAAAGCCCTTGCCTAGTACCACCGCCTCGCAACACAGAGCCACAAAGAAGGACCACAAAAAGAACCACATAAAAACACCAATGACAAGCAATACCAAGTATCTCCAGCTGGCGGTGGGCAGGTATTTGCCAAGCAAGCAAAGTCAGCCTTGTATGTGCACATGGACTGCAAGATCGATTTCATCCTCAGCTTTGGTGCGGCTCAAATAGAGCGGAATCCATGATATTGTTGATTGAATGGTGGGCCTGGTTTGTGCGAGCCGAAGCCATTTTGGATGAAGCCCGAAAAGGATTCGCCCAAGCATCACAGCTGGATCCCTTCGACTTGGGGACGCAAAACAACAGCCACTGTAGCTGTGGGCCACTGGTGGGATATGCTGTACCTATGTTTGGTATTGTCGTTGCACGTGTGTTGTATGTGGTATTGCTTATATTGCTTCTTGTCTGTTGTCGTGTGGTCTGCTTGATGCTTGGTATTGTCATCGTGTGCTGTCAGTGACCTGCGCTGCAGAAAGGGTCCTGAGAGGGCGGCTTGTCTATCCCAAACTCCAGCTACCTCAAATCACGATGTCTGGGTGACTCCACCCATGCCGGGAAATGCCGAACACCCGTCCAAAGCCATGTGTTGTATGTGTCCCTCCGACTGAGCCGTCCGACCGTCGCCCAAATCGGGCCAAGACCCGATTTGAAGGCTGGAGAATATAAGGGAATCCCGAGAAACACATGGTGGGTAATATGCTCTCTCTCTATATATATATACATATACTGTATATAGCATAGGATATAAACCCGGAAGTGGATGCGGGCAACCATCCCCTGTGGCCTTGAGTCTCATCCTCCTGATCGGAGCGTTTCTGCCCAGGCGCATGGCTGCTGGATCTTGAGTATTGACATTCTGCATCTGCTGTCCCCTGACCAACCATGCTGCTGTCCCCTATCTCACAGGCTCCAGGTATATACCTCCTGAGTTTTCTTGAGGATGGTGATTGAATTTGAAAGGACACCAATAACAGCATGGCAGATTTGGGCCTGGACAATGGTTCTTGTGTGCCAGGGAAGTCCCCGATGTATCTTGACACCAGTCAGGGTTCTTGTAGTTCTTGTGTGCCAGTGAAGTCCCCGCATGTATCTTGACAACAATCAGGGTTCTTGTTGCATGTGTACATCAAATAATTCTATGGATATACTTCCTCGTCAAAACTTTGTAGATTCTATATATAGGTGGTTGGGTGCTTATTCGCTCTTGGGGCATTGAAATGGAAGAAGACAGGGACGAATTTGCTGGTCTTCTCTTCGGGTGAGGCATGGTGAGGCCTATGGCTGGTCAGAAAGGAACAACTCAAACACTGAAGATTCTGGCAAGTACCACCAGTGTGTTCAGGGCTTTAGTTTTGTACAGGAGTCTCTTCCACAAACAATCACTACAAATACTACAGTAAGAAAGAGTTCATTCAATCCATTGTCACATAAATATCAACTTCTTGCGGCTTAAACAAGGAAGGCTCCCAGGAGCCCACCCCCACATGGTTTCTTTACTGTAATCTTTGTGACATGCACGTACTTGGGGTCCAGCAGAAGACAGTGCCACTAGCTCACTAGCTCCAGTTCAACCATCGCTGGCTGAAGGGCCCTGCTCATGAGCACCTGCACCCTCTGAGATGGTTTCTTTTTTGATGTGTTCATTATAGACCAATGCAATGAAGCAACATGCACACACACACAAACAGAATTGCATCAACAGGTCCGTTCGATCCACAAAAACGATAATGCAAAAACCGTTCCCCACTTCCCACTTCTTTGATAAAGGAGTCCCTTGGTCACGAAACCCAGAACTTCCAATGACTCATGAAATACTCCACCTGGTGGTCATAATCCACCACTACCATAGGGGTAAAATGTGTCCTTTGGATTCCCTGCAGCGGCGTGTGGCCCCTGAGACGACGAAACGAGGGTGGCGCACGAGGGTTCCTCTCCGGCCCAGTGGCACGTTCTGCAGTGCTGTTTGCAGCCTCGGGAGGGAAGCAAGAGAGAAAACACGTGCTTTTCTCCAGAAGCGACCGATGGCCAATGATGGCCATGGCCATTGGTTGCGGATTCCACGTCTGCTTTTTAGATCTTTTTAGTCTAGTACCCAGTGTGAACAGTAGAAGTGGATAGAAGTGGAGTAAAGCGATGTGGATTCTGTTAAAGGTCATCCTCGAAGACGAAGGGCTCTGGTGTCTTTTGTGGAAAAACTAGTCCCCAAAGGACCTTGGGCCACTGGTCCGTACTGGATGCGAGGGACAGCACATATAGACAGCGCGAACATATATCTTGAAACTCTTCTGTGGCCATTCACACTTCGATTTCCAAGTTGTTGTTGTTCGCCTATCAACAAAATAGATCAGTATAAGAATGAATAAAATGAGAACAAGGGGGAGTGATGACTGAAACATACTGGAGTTCTTGCTCTCACCGGGCCATTAGCTAGTGCCCACAGCCATGTCAGCTTTTTCCCCGGCACTGAGCTAGCAATGTGAAACTACGTTGATAAACACTGAGACATTTCTTGCTCTCCAGCAGTGTGTAGACCAGTCCTATACATTTGCTAGAGCTCTGGCCCTGGCAGATCAATCCAACATGGGAAACTACCACATTAGTCGACTCTGTAAACTGGAGAGAACATATCCGACAGGTGTTGTACCGATCGGGGCACTAAAAGAAATCCACAGTTCTGAATCAATTCCTCCTCCAACTGAGGATCTACTCCATACCAACTCTTTCATGATTGGCGACACACTTGGCAAAATGTCTCCTTCACCAACCTCGGCTTCGGATGGCTTCGGTTTTTTCCACAAAACTTCAAGCCTTTTCTTCCTCACTCCCTCCATCGGTGCTTCTTTTTCGTCCAAGCGGCCCGGAGCAGGTCTGCAAGCAGGCAGCGTCTGGCCCTGCCCAGGCGCCGGTCTGAAGCTGACGGCCGGGGTGCACCTGCAGCAACTTGGGGAAGCCTGGCGGTCGGAAGCCAACGAGGAGAAGCTGGCGGTGTCGTGGTTCCACCAAGGACAGTGCCCCCCTCCGGAGGGCGTCAAGGTGTTGGACGAACTTAGGTGATCCACGTCTAAAGGACGTCCAAAAGAGAGCCGCAAACCGGCTTTGCAGAAACTACCTCAAGGCCTTATTGACAGGTCAAGACTGACTCACTAGAAGCTCTCTGAATGAAAGCCAGCAAAACCCAAATACTGACTGGAAAACATACTGCTATAACTGGTGTTCTTTATCTTCTTCATCCTCACGCTTTCAACACAAGTCTTTTTGTCACACCTATAAAGCAATTCTGTTCCTAACATGTCCACAGCCTCATCTCCAACTTGTGCCTTCCATTGCCTTCTTCTTCTTCTTCTTATTCTTCTTCTTCTTCTTCTTCGTTCGTTTTCTTCCTTCGCTGAGCGGCTCTGTGGGACGACAAGCTGGTCGAAGTTCAAGCAATGGTTGGCCTGGCTAAGTGGACGGAGCTCCAATCTCTAGTGGATCCACTGGGCGTTCACAGTCATAGATCTGGGTGGAGATTGAAAATGGTTCCCCCGCACGAGCAAAACTCAGTCAGCTTTTCTAACAAGTCAGGGCGTCAACTCAAGCTCTTCCAGGCTGCCAAATTGGCCATGAAGATGGGTCACACCCATTTTCCTCATCTTCACATTGGAAGTGGATGGTTTGGCCTGTCCCACTTCCTCTTCTATGTTCATGAGACAAAGTGTAGTTGTTCATGGTCTTTAGGAAAACCATATCATTCGGTCTCAGCTGTCGCCAACATCAGTCCTGTGAAGAAACTGTGCCTGTGAAAAACAACATGGGGGGTACCTACCATGAAACAAAGAAGCAAATCATAGCAGTGCTTGAACAACACTTGCTGGGTCATTTGAATTGCACGGGTGAATTCGCCCATTCGCCACAAAGCACAAGCTCGCTGGCGATAGGGCCATCCGTCTGCAAATTTGGGGAGCTGCCGATGCGATTGGAATTCGCCCAGTGACTGAGGGCATCATGTGATGCAAACACGGTCCCCCTACAAGCGATGGCCTCCAACCTAGGAGCGATGGCCTCCAACCTGCTAGCGATGGCCTTCAAACAAGGTCCCCCTACTACAGCTCGCAATCTTATGCAAGGCCTACACGCCTTCCCCACACCCCGGACACACCTCGGCCACCACCAGGACGAATGGCAACGCGCGGGCAAGGGTCCACATGGCAACGGCACTTAGTCCACGCGCTGCGTGCTGAACTCGCGATCCCAAGCAGCTTACGGAATCAGCGGGAGGAGCGGATTTCAGTATATACTCAGCGCCAAACCTCCGTGAATGGCTAGTCCAGGGAAGCACGTCCGTCGAAAGTCCTGACGATTCCCCAGATTCTTTAAGCATGGCATTTGGCCAAATGTTTGAATTTTGGACACTAAAACTTGACATGGAATTCCACTGTAATCTCTCTGAATGTCTCTAATCAGCAGAACTGCAAGAATCTCCTCAACGCCTCATTGACTTCAACAGTCAATTGCTCCCACTCAACTTCTCACCTCAACACTAAACACGAACAATAGTCTCTCTTGATTGATGATGCCCGCGAACCAGGTGCTGGATAGAGGGACGGACCACAATAGTCTTTCTTGTTGTTTCGGTACATCACCCAGCCTTAAGCATACGGTTATTTCCAAAGAGTTGGGAGTTGGGTAGTAAGTTGTCCATCAAACTCGGCTGCACTCTGGCAGGAGAAAAAAAACAACTCTTCGGTGCGAAAGAAACCGTGAAGACTTGCTCTCAACGGATCACGGTCTCAGAAGACTCTGTGACAACCTTTGCCCATCCTGAAACATGTCGATTATATAACATCAATATGTCAAAGATGCCAAGTGACTGTTTTGATCGAACTATTCTTGAGCAGTGGGTCAATCATGGAGTGTGTAGGATGCAATAGATCATGTTCGGACATAAACTCGGCTGCCTCTGCAAACACTTCTTGGTCAACTCGTCTCAGGGAGCAGTGAGTCGGAGCGAGAGCAGTGAGTCGCCCGCCTGTGCTTCCATCTGACGGCGCTCCTCTTGTTGTTGCAACACTTCCTCCTCCTGCGCCAAGTGCCGCTGCCTGAGAGCGGGGATGGAGGGGACACGAACACAATCCTTGAAGGCCTTGAAGGTGGCCAGGATGCAAACAGGAAGCAGTCTCAGTATACGAACAAGGACGCTTCCAAAGTCTCAGTTTACTGAAGCATTTGAAGTTTTATGTGAAGGAAACATGAAATTTCACCTTTAAAGCGATGCTTGACAACCACATCCCATCTCAGCGTTCCCTGCGAATCTCGGTTTGCCTCTTTTCGCAAACGCAAAACACTTCAGGACGCTGCCAGTAAACAGAAACTGCCCCAATCTGCACCCCACACCCTGATTCATCGGTGAACATATAGTAAGTAAGCATGGCATTTCACACTGACTTCACGACATCTCACGCTAGCACGCACCAGAGTGTTTTCATCCATATTCGGACCGTTCTGTGGGGATCTTGTCCAGGGCATGTCATCGAATTTCCCGTCATCGCTTCCGGTCCCGCTGCGCAGAAACCGTCAAAGCCGGTTTCATCTGAGCTCTTGGCCTCCTCATCCAGTTGTGCTTGCCCAAAGAGATATCAATTTCCAAGTACGATGTGTAATTGATAGGGAATCACACTTTGATGGCATATCAAAGGTGTTTTGCGAGTGCCATCAAAGTGTAATTCCCTATTACATAAACAATAAGTTGAATGTATTTATACAACGTGTTCGATAAATTACCATTCAAACTTCAACATTGAAGCTTAGGCACTGACCTCTGAATTGAGAAAATATCAACCTTGCCATCTAAGTGGTCATCTAATCAACGCTGAAATCACTCCGTCATATACTGTGTATGTCATCAGATTGGTGAGCGCGGTAAAATTCGGTATAACATCGGGTGGTGCCGAAGCTGTGACGAGCCTTTCCACCGCAAGACATCTGAGATTGGTGCACTTCAGCGAATCCCCTACCGTTGGCGATGGGCATCGCCCGTCATTTTGGCCATGACCCCCAACTGCAGCTTGAAGGTTTCTGCAAGTTCATCGCCTCGATGACAGTGATGATGGCCCTCCACCCGGAAACTATGGGAAGTCCTTTCGGGCATGGGGATCATTCCAAGCTCCTTGCGCTAACTCTTGGAAAGTTCACACTACCCACCTGTCCATCGTGAGTTGAGTCTCAGAAGCACCTGTTGGTCCCTGCAAGGATTCACACCTTGTCACCACCTGGAAGCTTCGTCGGCGATCCGCCTCTGCATCGTCTCCAAGTTTACAGGCGACCGGGTCGCACATAAACACATACCTGCACACACACAAACACATTCAACAGCTCTGCATGCTGCACGTTAAAACAGTCTGTGTCCTGTTGGGCCGTTCCACGGCTGTCCAGTGACCAAGAGGTGGACAGCTGAACCCCTAAGCCAGCCCTGCCAAGGGGAGAAACCCAACTTTGGCCATGACTGCCACCGACCTTCCTCTGGGGAAATCCCGTGACCTCTGACCGTCCAAAGAAGCGCCTGAGTTGAGCTGGTCCCCCATGCAGAACCCTGGTCGTCGCCGAATGTGCATCCGTCGACTTTAAGGACCCTATTGGACCAAGTTCCGAGACTTCAGAGCTTGTTTCAGCTGCACGGTTTCACTGTCACTGCGAGGCTCCGTGACTCGGAACTCGGAACCGCGTGCGCCCCGTGAGGGACGTGTCGGTCCCTCACGTCCGAGAGGACCGACGTCTTCTTTCCATGGGCAGCTGTCCGTTTTTTGCGGGGCCAGCATCGAAGGCGTCGTGTTTTCATTCTTTTGTTTGCATCAAACCATTCATGTACATTCATGCTCGGCAAAACTCTTTGACCTCCTATAGTGAGCCTTCCACTCCCTGCCATCCAGGTCCGGTGTGTCCCTGCCATCCGACCACGGCACCGTCCTTCTCCACGCGTCGGACGGCACCGACCGATGTCTCGGACGCCTCATCTGCTCGTGCGCCGAGTCCATCACCTCTTGCAGCTTTCGCCGATGCTCCGCCTCCTGGAGCGAGCGAGCGGGTCACGGGTCAGCTTGGGTCATCTGAGATCGGTGGTGTATGTCTTTTATGGATCGGAAGATCTTTAAGGGTGGGGCTTTTGCGAGTGTATTGAATGGTGAGTTCCGCTCTTGTGAAGTCTTCCCATTATGCACAAATAAAGACCTTGGTGTGTCTTCCTTATCAGTTTGCACAGTTGCTGCTTCAACTATAACATGGACATAGTCATGGACATCAAGTTCGTTTTCGCGCATGTTTGTTTTACAAGCTCAATGATCTGCCAGCCACAGAAAACATGCGATCTTCCGCGCTCAGTTCTTCCACTTTCGACTCCGAGTCGTCGTCCCTTCGAGCGCCGTCCCTTCGAGCCAGCCGTCCCGATGTCCCAAGGAAGGGAAGGAGGGTCCAGCGCCGACTTGCACCAGTCCGCAATTGTGGCCCAGTGGTGTTTTCAGGTTGGGCTCAGGATACTCCCAGCGCCCATAGTTTTGGGATGTTAAACATGACATGATTCCAGTGCAAATGCCAACCAAATGTCAAGTCGATCTGCCAAACAGTCGTTGTGTTGATTGACATCCATATATAATTTCACGTGATGTACGATTCCTTTGGGAATCTCCGGAAGCGATTTCAGTGGACACCCGGCGAACAAATTGGAAATCACTTCGTCAAACATCCTGTCTGCTCACTGGATCTGGGTTTTGGTGACGCCCTGCTCACGTGAACGTCATGTTGTCTGCTCCTCCTTTCGCATTTGCGCTAGGAGCTTCCTGGCGCATTGCTTCCGAACCACTTCGGCCTGGCAATGACGGGGGAGCTTTCTTCTGGAGGAACAAACCAATCAGAGGGACCTGGAAAAACCCTTCTCTTCCACGGCATCCCAGGTTTTGCCCGAAACCGGAAAAGCATGGACAAAGGAACAAGAACCACCCTTTCTACATCGTCTACTCTTGGGGTTAGGAAGTTCCCGGATCGTATGGTCCGGTCGACAGGACAAACACCTGGGCTTGCCTCAGAACACAAGATTTCCAAGAAAGAAGACCGGTCCCTCTTCCCTACAACCAGTTGGTGTCTGTTTGCTTTCTAGGGATGTTTCTTGTGCAGTAGCTCCCTGAACTTCCGAGAAGCGCGTCCTGGCAAAATGGACATGCCGCTCAAAGTGCGCGGAAAACGACTCTCATCTAGATTTAAAGATCCTGTGACACTGTGGTCTCAACCATGGAATGGGCAATCCATGGGAAATCGCTCTTCCAGCTCTCTCTCAACCATGAACCAAGAAAAATCATGCCATGATGAGGGATACCATAGATTACCATAGTACATCAGTACATATATGCAATATTTTCTTATGGCATCGTACAGTAGATGCCATGACTCGCCAGGGCGGGCACATCGTTCACTCGCCTGGGCTTGGAACTCCGCAGAGCTTGGCCGGTGTCGGGGCCGGTGCCGACCTGGATGGGGCGTCGCGGCACGACCGCACGGCTTGATCAAGCCGTTTGGAGGGCCGAGAAAGAATGTCCCAACCGTTGAGTTACCGTTTGGACCGTTCTTTGGAACTAGAAACTTCTGAATGGTGTTGAATATGTTGGATCTTGACCATTCTCGGCCTCGTTTTACTTCGTATCCCAAGGGCCGGTGTTTCACAACGTGTGGAGTGTGGTGTCGACTTAGTACCGCCGACTCCACTGACTCCACCCTCACAAACAAAAAGAAGGTTTGGTACAGTAGGGAAGGCGATACATAACAAACATCACTCGGCCTAGAAATATTACCTTCAAAGAAAGCCTATAGGGTAAATTGGTCACGGCATCAGAGTGCTGTCTCTCTACCAAATGTTGACCTTGTTCAGTTTTTCTCACTGTTCTTTGCTCCTTCCTTTGCTTCCTTCTCTCATTCCACTCGTTCTCCCTCTTCGAACTGTTTCTAGTAGCGATGCACTTGTTTCTACTAGCGAACATGGTTACTACTAGTAAGGCCAGGAGCCCCTAGTAGCTTCTTGTTACTACTAGTAAGGCACTTAGTTACTAGAAGAGATGTGTTAGTCTCCATTCTTCAGGTTTCTGTTTTCCTTTCACTTGGTTTCTGATCTTGTTAGCACCTTGAGTACAGCTTGCCTCCGTGAGCACTGTCGGCACTGAGGTGATTTTGTTTTTTATTTTAGTTTTTGCATGTTTTTGCTTTCTGATGCTTTCTGTAGTTTGCAGGTTCCATCGTTCATGTCAGATGCATAAACATCTCGAAGTATATATTTAATTATATAGGCTGCTAGACGTTTGAACAGTGACACCCAGAACATCCTGTATCTTTGGAATGCTTCACCCCTTCTTGCTTGCAAGCACCCCGCTGTTCAAAGACGATCGATGCATAGGTGGGTTCCCAGCACTTTTTAGTGCTGGGCATTGAAAAGCAGCAACCTCATTGAGACCCTCTGTATGAGACACGTCACAGTGACCCGAAGAAGCTGCCCTTCAGGTCACGGGGCCGCGAAGCTGCTCAAGCAACATGTCGACCAACATGTTGACATCGCTGCCAATAGGTATCTAAGCCTTGTTCTCTTAGACTCGACCAACTGTGATCCCCAAACAGCTGTACCTCCCCACCCCTACTAGGAACAAGAAGCTACTAGGGGCTCCTGGCCTTACTACTAGGAGCAAAGATGCTACTAGAAGCTCCACCCCTGCCTGTGGGGATGCCACCCCCATGCTGCTGCAGCTGTTCGCCCCGCAAGACCTGCGCGCCTTGGAGACCGAGGAGAAGCCGTGCTCGGCTGAGGGGGATATGTCGAACTGCTCAAAGTTCACCCAAGAAGACGTGACTCTAATCAAATCTAAGACCTAAGATATGGGTAATGTTATATTGTGTATATACATAGGATTCATGAGGAATCAATGGGGTCTTCTTCTTCTGTCTGGGAGATGTGTTCATGTTGCGTTTTCCGTCTTTTACTATAAGACTGAACCATGGACAGTGTAGATGAGGCCCGCCCACATTACTTTGGTTCAGGCTCTTCTTGTGAGGGCGCATCCAAATGGTTTGTTCATGTTTGTTTTGTGCGTGCATGAAAAATACATTCATTTTCATAGGCCATTGGGAAGGCTTCATTGAGATGTTCCCGGAATTGAGTGGGCCTGCGAGACCCTGGATTGTTTGGATGGTTCTGTGATCAAGTTTGAGAAAAGGACTCTTGAAGACCATACTCTTGTTGGCGCTTGATCTAGTTGGAAGAATTATGAAGATCATGACGAGATTCTGCACCACCAAGGAATATTTACATGCCACACGAAGGGAAAAAAATGCTATTGAGAGATGCAGCGAGTTCCCCAAACGGTAGGAATTGCTGGTGCCCTTGATGTGTCTGGTGTTTTGACCTCGCGTTGGCCTCGACGGCTCCTGAAAAAGGGATTAATTCCATGGAATTCCTAACATTGTTTAGTTTTATATTCTGTGAATCTCAAACTTCGCGAACCCCCAAATTGGGGAGGCGATAGGGCGCAAGTGCAAAACTGCTGGCAACAATGCCAGGCAAACAAACTGCATACCGGACAAATGAAGCCGCAAAAACGTTCGATTCCGATTCACCTTTATTTCGAGCGTTCGCACCTGACATCACCTTAAATGATGGCTCGAACGGCTCTGCGGAGCCAGGCTGTGCCGGTAGTGCTGCAGCCCTGCACCGGGCAAAAGGCTAACGTCCCCGTTGTGGACTCGGTGAGAAAAGCTACCGAAGCTCAACCTGGTGAGCCGTCCATTCCTTTCTTTAGCGAAAAGCCAAACGACCAAAACCAAAGAACGACAAGACTGTGGCTAGCCGTGACGAGCATCGCGTAAAGCCAGGCCAGGTCAAAATTTGCAACTAGTTGTCTGAATCATTTTTCGATTGTACCCCGCTCTGTATGAACCCCTCCAGACATGATGGTTGGTCGTGATTGGTCTTGCGAGTGAACCTCTTGGGATTCTCCGGAAGGCAGCTTCTGCAGCAGGCAAAATCTGGCAAACCAGTGAAACGTGGTGGAGATTCAGCAGCTTGAAGCATCACTTGCTCTTTATTACTTGGATCCAAGGATGCACCCGCATCTGTCATGTTTGTGTGGAAGAGTTGGCTGACTCGCCGTGCTCACACTGCCCATGCTCATAGCATCATTGTCCACATATGCCAAGGATGTGGACTGTGGACTTAGACTTTTCTTTCAGTGTGTCAGGTAGTTGATCAACTATCAATTTTCACTGTGCATGTGTCAAAGTGTTTAAGAGGTTCACTTCGTTCCCTTCAGACTTAACCCTTCATGTTAGACAGAAGTGCAAAGTACAACAACATATTCCTGGTCGCACTGGACAACAAAGTCTGCCCCCCTAACATAAGTTCCTGATACAGTAGAGTCCTACATATCAATCCTCCTTCCAAATCCATCTCAAATGTTCTTTCGACCACGAACCAAGTAGGGTTCATGCCAAATTTCCCCACGCTCAGGCCCATAGCTCACCACCTCTGATGAGCAGTCGTTTGTCACACCACGCGGAAAACGACGCGGGCGGCCGGTCTCCCTGCACAGGGGCGCTGGGAGTCTCCCGCCAGGATGGTGAGTCCGTGGATCGATGGGTTCGGATGGATGTGGATGTGGTGAACTGGCGAAAATGCACCCTGACTACTGAACTTTAAGATGATTCCTCCTGTCAGGTGCAGGAGATCTGCGTTTTTTCTTTTCGGGGACATGTAGTTCTGTTTTCTCCGGAAGCAGCATTCACAGAGTCATCTTTCAGCAAGGGTAGAATCTGTGGAGCCAGTTGTTGGCTGCGAGGCATAGGCTGACATTCCGCCCTCAGCCCTAGTTCTCAAACCAAGAAGAAACACGCCTATGCCAGGGGCACCAATTAACCTCCAAAAGACATCAAAAGACTATAAATGCAAAACATGTCGCTCTCTCCCAGTTTCACCAACCAAACGATTGTCCTATGATCATCCATCCATCCGCGGGGCGTGGCGGATGACGGGCGAAAATTCGGCCCTCACAGCCGGGCTTGTGGAAAACTTTGCTCCAACCTGGCGGTGACACGAGCCCGGCGACACGAGCACGTTTCGTGGCAGTTAGCTGAACATGAAACACCGCTGAACATGTGATTTGAGGTCCAGAGATGTTCATGCTAATTTTTTATGACTGATGAGGTATCCTGGGATCTCAGGTGGTGTAGAACTTGTCCACCTGAGAACAGGTGTCCACGGGAAAGTGTCCGGTCCAAAGGTGCTTTGGGGGGACTCATATACGGCATGCAAAGCACAGCATGCAATCGTTGTACTATACCTGCCCTACCCAACCCACAATACACCTAGTTCTACCATCTCCACCTCAAGAAAACAGTTTCTCCACCTTCAACCTTTCTTCCTACTCCACTCCCCCTTCCCCCACTTCGTTCACATCCCATTTCACAAATCTTGCCACTCCAAAATCTGCAGCTCCTCTTGTTCAACAGTAAGTCTATGATCATCTTGCCATATCTTTCCTCGACTTGGTCGACCCCGACACCTCCCGGCCTCCCAGGCACCACTCGTGGACCCTCCACCAGGACCATGGGCTCTAAGCCCCAGAGCTCCTTCCCGCAGCGACTCACGTCACACAGCGCGTGGTAGTCGTCCTCGGGACAGGGGCAAGGCAGAATGTTCACGAGTCGGAGTGGGATGATCTGGCCGCAGTAAGCTGATGTTCAACATGGGCAGCAGCATGTCAAGAGACTTTGGTCACTGGAAATGCAGAAGCTCCCACAACACAGCGGTGTAAGCGAGCAAAACAAGCAAGAACCGCACCAAAATTTCAGGCAAGCACTATAAAGAACAACTATCTGTAACTATCCGCTTTTAAGGTGCCAACGTCAGTATTGCTGCCCTGGATGTGAGCGCTTCTGTCACCTGACTCTCGGTTATAAGTTCCTAGAACTACCGACATCGTCGCAGATCACAGGGAATGTGAACTGTGGGCACTCTTCTGGACACAAATAGTGACCGGACCTTTTTTTGAGTTGTGTGGCCTACTCAGACCTTTCTTGTTTTGCAAACGCATGAAACAACCCTCCAGCCCCGAAACAAAACAACTATTTTGGAGACGACATGGTACATCCATCTCCCTCTCCAAGCTGTGCAACGTTTCCCCACGTGCGGCTCAGGCTCAGTGCTATTCACCAGAATGCCGCCCAAGAGCTTCCTAGGCCATGCTTGTTCGATGAGGCGAGCGATTCAGGTTTTCGGACAATGAACAAGCATGCAACAAAAACGATCTGTCATGATATGTCGTCCTCCCCACAAGATGCGGTAGTGTCAAATCACCAAGAGTTTAACACACTAATCTTCTGGCTCTGCTCTGTCGTTTGACCCTCCACTGTCCTCGGCCCCCGCCGAGAGGCCTGGAGCCACCTGGCATTCGCTTGAAGATCAGTTTTCGGTAGCAACCCTCCTCCAAAACGGAGCGGACCTCGGCGTCAGGAAGCGAGGTATGGTGAGGTCAGTGAAGGGACTTAGGTCTCTGCGTTTTTTTGCTTCACAAATGTGGGTCAGGTAGTGCATGACCTGAGAGGGTCATGTGTTTCTTTTCCATATGTCGGTTGCCTGGTGGCTTTATATTGAGTGGGTAACTCTGCTTGTAAAGGAATACAACAGAGTATTGAATAATGCCCTACATTTTGTGATTATACTTGCAACGAAACAGAAAGACCTACATCAACAACACACACACACACACACACACGCCTTCATGGATGGCTGTGGCAAGTCTATGAAAGGTCGCTGAGGGGCCGATTGCCCCGAAATCGCAACCAGAAGGGTAAACACTCCCACAAATCCAATAAAGAATACAGCAACAACAACACAGCACCAGGAATGCTGTTCTTCTAGAAGGTTCCAAAGTACAAACACTTTTCCCCTATAACTAGAATCCTGCAAGAGACCTACGTGAGTCTGTGCGGTCGAATTTGGTCTCTGCAAAGCTGTTGCTTCTGTAAAGTGGTTGATACGGAAGATTGTTTGACACTGTCCGACACGTCTTTAACAACAATGGGTCGGCACATGTCAATTTGATCCGTGGCCGACCCACAAAATTGTTCGGACAAAGTAAGAAGAAGGAGAGTGTCCACTCTTCTCCTGAAGAATTGCTGAAGTATGCCCTTGTGGTCATGATCTACCTTCAACTGCGTGTGACCACCATGTTCTTGAATTCACTGCACCAGGCTACGCAAATGCAGGGCTTCTCATCATCATGCAGCACTTGGTAGGTCTTGCCGTGCCAAAATGCCGCTGACTCGCCGAAGGATGCCACGTTCACCTCAAAGGTCAGTGTTCCGCGGAACCCGCGTTTCCTGGACCACAGGTGGGTAGAATTATATATGTGCGTCCAAGAATGAATATATTGTTATAACTACATATAATATACATATATATATATATTATACATATATATATATATACACATACACCCTTTCCCTGCGGCTTGGGGTTGGGCTCCCTGCTGTTCCTTGGGGAAACGAGCTATCTCCGTCTCCTTCTCCTCCTCGATTTTCAGACCCACTCCCGTCTTTCTGCCGAGAGGTCGCTCCCATCAGCTTCAGCTTCGTGGAGAGGTCGCTGCCATGGTAGCGCAAGCCCGCAGAGGGGCTGCCCAAGGTGGATGCCAACACTTCGGCCTCCGCAAGAGACAAGCGCGAAGGGCACATGCTTCTTCTTCCTAGTAGTAAGGCCAGGAGCTACTAGTAGCGTCCTTGCTCCTAATAGAGCTGCCCTTTGCTACTAGTAGCTTCTTGTTTCCTAGTAGCAAGAAGCTCCGGATAGTTTGGTGATATTCGGAGGGTCTGGGTGCTCAAGTGCGGATTGGATCATAGGGTATCTAAAACCAGAAGATCATCCATCCACGGGTTGATGGACAAAATCTTGCACCCCATCCTTTATGAGTTGTTTTTTTACTATTATTGGAGATCCAAATCTAATCAAATCTGTCCAAAGCTTCTCCAAATTGCCCCATGCTGCAGTTCTCGCAATGTCTTCGCCAGAACGGTTCCCCTGTCCAAAGGCCTCTGCAAGTTTTCAGAGGGTTCCAAGCCGGCCTGCTCACTCCCCGGCTTCCAAAGGCCATAGACCATCCCTGCAAATCAAGAAAAGAGATGCAAGCGAGAGAAAGAGAGAGAGAGAGATGGGCACTAACAGCTCTTTATCCTAGTACTGTACACGGTAACTTGATGATGGTTAGCGAGTATGGTTAGCAAGTGCGTTTGAGTATGATTGAGAGAGGGATGATACAAGCAAAGACTGTGCTTTGAAGGGGGCCCTAACAACTTGCGTCACATCAGTTCGCTTCCCAATGCCTAATTGAATCACCAACAGCAAGGGGTTGTGGTTTCGGTGGGGCCAAACAAATTATGAACGTCGCTGTGCAAATATTGTATCAACTACATCTACATAGGAGGCAATACAAACAAATCATGTAAAACAATCCTTATCCTTCCCAAATTAGCGCTTCCCAGCCAGGTGGTACCCACCGGATGTTGCTATTCCATAATGCAAAGCGGTTCACCTGCTTGCACTGCCCTTTGGTGCACTGGTTTTGTTGCCCTCCACACTGGCCACTCTACTTGTAGTGCCCACTCTATAGTGACCTCCCCCTCGCTTTGCCCGGCAAAACGCGGAAAGCCGCCTCCTTCATGGCTGGCCACCTCACCGACCGCGTAGATGTGGGGGTCGCTGCTGCGGAGGAAGTCATCGACCTTCACGCCACCTGTGGAGGTGTCGCTGCTGAGTGCTTTCGCCGCCCGGATGTTTCTGCACAGTGCTGCGGTCCATCCACAAACAAAAGGACGTACGAACTCATTGCAGTGACTCCCATGAAAACTAATGAAAAAAACAAACCATAACAAACCTCATGCTCACATAGGAGGCGGCAGTGAATCCAAAGTCAATGATTCCAAGTTCCCATTCACTCAGCCGGTTGCGCAACAACGAAGCTGAGTGTCACCAAAAAGAGTTCCACCGAATCACCATCTGAGGTGACTCCAAATGATTACCTTCACACTTTATCCTCCAGCTGGTGGTAGGTGGTATCGATGACAAGTCCCCCGCCCGTTGGGTCGCATGGTATGCCGACCGCCAAATCGCGCCTCGCTCGCCGAGGTCCAGGTCGCAGCCGCGCGCGAGCTCGTCGCGCGGGCGGATGCCGCAGGAGACGACGAGGAGCTCCAGATCGAGAGTCCACTCGCTCTCCTATAGCGACAGAGCGTCTACATATGGATAGTAATGTTGACTCTTGATTAGTATTACCCTCCCTCTCCCTGATCGAATCCATGAGACTCATGATTAATGATTGATTCTGGAAAAAGGAATCAAAAGAAAATCAAAGGAAATCCAAAGGACATCAATAGACATCAACGCTAATTTAAAAGGAAATCAATAATTTACAGTCAAAATAGTTAATTAAGGGAATTCAGGGAATTATTTATGAATGAAAAGCATAGGCTTTATTCCAGGAGGTGCTTCAATTAAAGACCTAAAGAGAAAACATTCTTGTAGGGAGTGATATTAATCCAGATTTCAAGTGTACTGGGCTACCCAATTTGTGGAATAGTTTTTTGTACTATTTTTAGTACGATTGAAGAAAGGGAGTTTAAGAACTTAATGAAACACTGTCAAAGGTAATTAATAGAGATCAAAAGGAATTCAAAAGGGCATCAATGGGAGAATCAACATCTAGAAATTAAAATAGAATTAACATATTAGGAAAATTAAAAAACCATATTCAAACAAATCGTAGACATTATTGTATGGAATCACATTATTGTAGGGGGTGTGATATTGAGGAAGCAACATAAATAGATTAATTCAGGATGAACACCATCGACATTATTGCAGGAGAAATTAATCAAATATAATACCATTACATCCCAACTGTGCAAACACAAAGCACTGCAACCTAAACTACCCATTAAATAGAACAACTACTACACACATACTGTATTTAAAACATACAAAACACCGATGCACACATTAATTAAAGGGGCGTTATGAACCGAAAAAAAACTGTGCAAACATGAATCAAGGGGTAACTCATCAGCATTCAATATTATACTGGGGGATGTTTGACTATCTTGAATTTCTGAGTCTCTGCTACCGCACACCAGGTCAGCATAAATGACTCTGGCCGCTAGCCCTTGCCAGTGAAGGAAGACTTCCACACTAGCACCACTTGTGAGGAATTCGGAATGATGGTGCATTGCACTAGGGTTCTGTTCAACATGGTCAAAAAGGTGAGGCCTCTGCGGAGTCTGGTGGTTAGATCAAAGGTCTTGTCTGTGAGGCAAGCTTTCTGAAGTGCCGACTTTGTGCATTGACCAATCTTACATAGATTCTATACCAGGACGCCCAAGGGGTGGTTGGTTTTAAAAACTAACGACCACTTTCTTCAGTCAACAGGTGAAGTATATTTCATTCCAGATCATTAGTACCACCCCGAAACGAGCATGTGGATGTTCTCCCAGCTCTACAAGATCCTGCAGCATCCCTCAAAAACTACATACATTGGTGTTGGAATTTGGCTTCGATAATCTTTCAGAAGGGCGAGCGTGGGCATGACAATAAATACAATACTACAAGTGTTACCGTAACTTACAATGCAATGTAAAGTGGAACAATTGGAGTAGCTACACGTTCTGTGACTGTAAGAAGTGCTGTACTTCAATTGTAGTTTGTTGAGTTCTTCCTGTATTTTCACAAACTGAAAAGGAGTGAACATATATAATTATATATAGTCAATGAATTATGGTCCTGAAACAGTTGAAACTAATGTTATTTAGCTGTTGTGGTCAAGACAAACAATGAGTATGATACACGTACTGTTGTCTAGCAAGATACACCCTAATATGCAAGATCAAAACACAAAGTTAGTTGGACTATACGCACATATGTTATTAAAGTGACTTACTTAATCCCCAAGATATCGTTGATGATCCCAAACATAAATACATTATAGATGCTATGACAAGCATCCTTCTAAACCACTTCCTGTTTCATCTCTTGGTTTTTATGGTTGAATTTTAAACATACAAATGTTCCAAAATGGTTTAACATGGAGTGAAACAGATTGACGGTGTACGTGATATCTCTATATATATAGTTCAAAACAACAATTACTACCACATGCAAAAAATTTGAAAAATATTGCAATTTCTCACAAATGGTTCATGATCTGGTGTTCCACCAGGAACTTAGTTGTTTAAAAACAACATAATACTAAATATGCATTTGACCATCAAAATCTCATAACGGTGCAGGACATGTTTATCATTTTTGCATTGTAAATACACAAAACACCTTTTAACACACCTCCCATTCAGAATTCTATCACATCAAATCACTGATATACTTGCAAGACCCCACCACAAGACTCTTGCCCAAATGCCCGGTACGGCACATACATCTGGTACATATTATGTGGGATTGCCGGAAATATATAGTCTTTGTGACTTGAGTCAGGAGTTCTGTGGGCATCTATTCTTCCATTATGTATGCAGTTCTTTTCCACGTTCATGCCGCTCTTTGCCGGCTGCTACTGAAACCACACATCGTGAGTGTGTGCTCTTTGCCTTCTCCCGCTGCCTATCACTACCTGTTCCACCGAATGAGTTTGTATCAACTTTGTATCTTGCGTCTGCCAAGGCTCATTCTCCAAATACCTCGCGGCACAAATTTCGCCGCTGGAGTCCTCCGACAGGACTTCCTGGAGCTGCACGTTCACGTGCACCACACATCCCAAGGACTCCTGAGTGAGTGAACCACTTGTCTGGCGCTGAGGTTGAGGACCATTAATTATCATGGAACAACGTCTTCCAACATGCGTGAACCAGGACGTCTCACCACAAACGATTCGCAAAGAACAGTGTCATCACAGTGTCTTGTGATGGCCGTGTCTCAATCTGCTTCTTCAAGAGCTCGCCCGCCACCGAGTCCAGCTGTGAGGGCATCAAATGAGGAGCACTCTCGAAGACCTCAGGCGAGCAGCGTGTGAACGCACGATCGCGGGGGGTCATGAATGGTAAGTAGAACCAAGGGCCAGGACAACAAAACCAATCTTCTAGTTGATCGTCGACCATGTCTCGGCTGTTTTGGAACAAAATATACGTTAATTCGAAAGATCCCCACCATGGCATTTACTCCACGGCGCGTGCAAGCCATCAAGCCGCTGGCTTGCCACTCAGGCTCCACCCAAGCCGCATCAGCTGCTCACACGACTTCTGGTGCCATATGCCAAACATGGCCTTCAATTTCTCCAGGCGCAGTGAATATGATGTCTCCATGATAAGTGGTGCTGGGAGGCGCTGGTCACCAACCTAATTCAGCGCAAAAAACGCCAAACATGAACAGCACCTCTGAGCACGCGAGCCTCCGTCCCAATGAAACTCGTGACCGGACGCCGGATGATGGTCCACGGCCACAACATCCATGGAGCCGCCTCCAAAGCTGGCTGGTGCGCCATGCAACCATTGCAAACACAAGCAAGCCAAGCACTTCTCGAGCCAAGTCGCTTTCAAAAAGCAGATGCTCAGTGACACCATCCTTGCTTGACTTGCTGTGTGATGTTGCCTGCGTCCCAAGCCTGTTCAGAAACAGCTGAATGCGCAAAGGTACACAACTACCAGATGTGACTAACATTCTTGCAAGCAGATGTATTTCGAGTGATCGGAGAACACAGAATATATCATAATATATTAGTAGTCTAATGTAGTCTACAAAGAGCTGGCGTTTGAGATCCGGCGGGGAACACTGCCATCCTGCACTTGCGTTTGAGGTCCGGCGGGAAACACTGCCATCCGGAGCTGGCGGAGGAGCGGCGGCGGAGGAGGAGGCGGGAAGGCAGCTGACATAAAATGCAACAACCCTCACCGTCACCTGACAGGTGGGGAACGAGGCCTTAACAACTGCATCCCTGTTATTTTGTTCTTTCTGGACTCGGGGTCCATCTGATCCAAGAGCTTTGCCACGTCCCCATGCATCGAGCCACATGCGTCTCCAGGCCCAAGTCCAGTAAGGCCTTGGCCGCCTCCAATCCTCAAGGCGAGTGGCACTTGGTGCTCTTGCGCTGCTGGTTTGCTCGCTGGTGAGCATTCTTAGTGTCCTTGCCCACTTGGCGTTCGCTATACGCTATAATGGCTAGCGAGACGTGATTCCCAAACCTCACCAGGTAACACATGCTAAATGAAACTGTGTAGAAGTGATCCACATCATTCCACATCCTCACATACATTCAAATCTTTTCCATCCTATACCCGCCCATCTCTCCCGCCTCTTTCCATCCTCCAAGTGGCCCAAAAGCCCACCGCCCACCACGGCGGCCCGCCGCGTGGTTCCACGCGCAGAACCCGCACGGGCGATGATGGCGTCCATATCTTCGATGGTTCGGTACAGGAAAACGCCTGGCAGTAACTGTCTAAACATGGTTCCATGAGCATGATGAGCCCTTGGGATCGAGGTAGCTGACATGCCAATTGGGGTCCAGGACATGGGTCAGTTCCTTTTGCGTCGATTCTCTGGAGATGTCGATTCCTACTGCACAAGAACTGCTTGAGATTGGGAAGCCAGCCACTTTAGCCCCGCCTGCGGTGGAGGCCAAGCCAGGGACAGGTGGAACAAAAGGCGCACTTCCGGTGGCTAACACCAGCTCATCATATCCAACCTCTCCAGACCCCGAAGGACCTCACGACAGTCGACCGTGCGCTGGGCAGTGGCGTTGTGCATCGGTCGACATACAAAAAGGGATGATCTGCTCCAGGTTAGCTAGCAGCCCAGCTTCGTAAGTCCGGCCTACCCGTGTTTTGGCCATGTTGAAACATAGCCAGGGTAGGGAAGGAAACAGGCAGTAACATGCAGCTTGCAAGGATGCTGATTGTCAAGATGTAAACCGTCTACGGTGGTCTACAGTAAGCCAAAACACAAGAATACTAATTTGAAACATATAGTCACGTAGTCATATCAAAAATAAGAATGGACAACCTTGCCTGCTGAACCAACATGCAGGACTTGGACACTGACAACTGACAATATATATATATGTAAATAAGTTGCTCCTCGCGTTCATACCCTGGCCGCAAGGCCGAAGAAAACCATACATGACAGTGTCTTGAATAACTCGTCTTGCTCAAAGTTGAAAGAAACAAATCATCTATCCCAACCGCTCCATGTACGTATGGCATATTTGCCTACATTTCCGACAGCATGTTGACCCAGCGACAGCGGTATGAGGTCAACTACTTTGTCACCTCCTTTTACGCTTTATGCGGTCTTCCAGTCTTCACAAGCCCAGTCCTTCGTCAAGTTCTCTCCTAACACATCACCACATGCATGGCAATCATTGGGAAGGACACTCATCCAAAGACCACAAAGACTAGTCTGACTGGATGTTGGAAACCACCAGACCAACACGTTCACGTGAGGCGCTGCGGCGGAACTAGTAGCTCCTTGCACCTTGCTACCGGTAGCTTCTTGTTTCTAGTAGCGATGCACAGGGCTTCGGCTCGGACGTCGTTTTCGACAATGGCCACGCCGTCAAAATGGGCCACATCGACCTGGAGTGGCGTCGAGCGGACGGGTGTCGCCTTCGTAGGTGACCTGCTTGTGCGAGCGTTTGATGCTGGTGGCTCGGGCGAAGATCACTTGGATGTTCTTCTCTTGAAGCCAATCCGGGCCTTGGATACACGTCCAAAAGGAGAGGTCAAACTCAGACTTCAAATACTGCATATCACAGTGTGCCTAAATCCATTTAGATTTTGGACGACTTCTTTTGCCGTATCCCTGTGATACTCTGAACCAGCCGGTGCGTATTTGTGCAAACCAAGCAGCAAAGTCCTGATGAGTACATAGTACACACATTCTGCGAGTATGATTGTTTCAAGGTGGTCCCCTCCCAAGTGTAAGACAACTAGAGAGGGAGGGTGAGGGAGGTGTTGGATGTTTTGGTGATTACGGCAGATGTGCTGATCCGGGCCACGGATTGATAAGAAATCAACAACAAATCCCGGGATACAAGTAGGTATCTCTGATTATTCATCAAATGGTGATTCTCTACAGGAGGATGAACTCAGGACATTTGGTTTTGACACATATATATATATATATTATGTGGTTGACAAACAGTACGTGGTATACACAACTCGTCTGACCAGTTCGCCGATCTGTATGGAACCAGTTGCGCCTCAACTCCCCGTCTGCCCATACCGCTTCGGTGGGGTGGCGGTGGGTGCCTGGAACCCCCAATCCTCATCCGATCCATGGTGCTACACATTGCCAGCTCACAGACGGACCGGTGCTGGAAATAGCCTTGGATGTACAGCAGTGGCGCAAAAATCACATACCCCTTGCAAAGCCAAGAGTTAGAGCTTGCACACATGTTTAAGGCACGTGCCAATTTTCTTAGGGCCAGCTCTCACCGAAGGGTTTGGTTTTCTTTGTTTGAAGGACACATGTCCTTGGACATGCTGGGGCCATGAAACCACCGTCATGCAGAGCCATAAAATGATTAACGTCCTCAAACGCCATCAAGGTGATGCAACGTGTCATCCATAAAACCATTATCAAACCAACATATCACGAACCTTCGCACCCAGGTGGATGTTGTGCGCTGGGGCTCCGGGTGGGTGAACATCCACTTTGTCGGTTCCTGTGAGGCTTTCATTGTAGACATCGATTCCTGCTAATGCTATCGCTATGCAGTACTAGGAAAAAAAACGACCTTTACCAAAGTTGCCAAAATAAGGATGTCTTGCTAATGGGACGCACCTGATTGGCTCCCTACACTGTGACCCAACAATGTTTGTGGCACAGTCACTGGTCATGGCCACTCGATTGTAGGCCAAGTGAGGCTCTTCACACAGCACGGTGATGGCCATGCGCCGCTCCCTCTGCCTGGGTTTCGGGGTGTAGTGAAGCATGGCCTGTAGCAAGCACACACACACATTTCTGATTACTGATTTATCTATGCAGTACATTTATGATACATTCCCTCTGAAGGGCTGTGTCACAAATGATTGTTGCGAATATGTCCAATCTAGTCAGGAAAATACATAAGTGGTGGTTAGTACGGGCGTGTGCTGCAGACTGTAGAGGACAAATATCCAGCAATTGGTCTCTTGGGACGTTTTGGAAACCCATTCCCCACATAGCTGTGGCATGGCAGGAGTGAAGTGTTGATCCAATGTTCTGTGATGGAGGACCCCTCAAAATGTTTCAAGCAATCGCTTGGTCCATGTATTACATAATCCTTGGTGATCGCTGAGATGGAAGGAATATACACACTGAGATGGAAGGTGATCCTTGGACCATGTTCTGTGTTAATCCTTGGTGATCGCTGAGAATAAATGGGAGATGCAAGGAATATACACCCGAGCTGAACACCATCTCTGTCCCAAGCATCACCAGTAACCATCTCTGTCGGCTGTCAACCCCCAACGTGCCACATGATCCAGCCAAGCTTCTCCACCAGATTCTGTAGCAAAACGTGCCCAACCGGGCCGTAGCCCACCAACACCACCCGCACTGCTGGCATGGCTGCCATGTCCAGCACGGGAGCGGGGAAGTCTCGGGGATAGACCTTGGGGCGGTGGAACACAGTCGGATCATGCGGCATCACAAACTCAAACGTCAAGTTCAAGCTAATGTTCTTGTGTTCTGCCTCAACATCTAAAACCGTGATAGGTTGAACTCAAATTGAACTTCCTGCTAGTCCATGTTCTTCAAAATATCTAACAAATGGTCGTGGGTCAAGAATCAAGATAATCAAGTATCGTAGGCTCGCTTCCCTGGTCCCTGGAAGTACATCTTGTTCATTTCCAGGGTCGGCCCCAGCAGGTTTGCAGGTTTGAGGCTTTTTTGTTGAGCACACCTTGGAAGGTACGGACTGACCCTGCAACCACCAGCCAAATCACTCCAAACCTCAATAACCAGCAGTGGATTCCTCCAGGGACTATAGTATATGGAATTGATGTGATGATCAAATATTGAACACAAACGAACATGGACCTTCATGTCAAACAGCCTTCCTCTTCATCTGTACCAACCTGTCCATGTCCAATCTGAAACTTCTGCTCATCTGCCAGCAAAGGCGCCATATCCTCAATCTGTCCAGGGTTGGCCCGGGGGCCATGCGTCATCACCACCGTTTCCAGACCCCATAGCTCGCGCCCACAGCGTGCCACGTCACATAAGGACTGGTAGTCCTCGACGCGACAGGACGTCGATGTCGAAAGCGGACGGCACTGCAGACAGTTCAACACAGGTACCAAGGTGACGAGGTTTTGAATGTTTCACAATACAAACCATCAGCCAAGTATAAATCTGACTTCTCCCGCCAAAAAGCCACCAACACGCTTAATTTGATCTATCAAAAACTACCTGAAACTATCACATTCTCTCTTACACCCTTTCGAAAGAATTCATTCCCAAAGGGTACACCCTACTAATGCCAAAAACATACATTTATAAACTACTCAAAAAACAACATACTTGCCTTTCAAATCTAGTTGTCTCCAAGGTTGCAATTAAACCTGAACTTTCTGGTGTGCAATAGTCGTATGTGCTCTTCCAAAACCCAAACTATGTTGCAACAAACACCCAAACTTTCTCCTGTACAAGAAGAAACTTCTCTTTCTAGCAAATCCTGAGAAACATTGTATGTTCCCTTTCAACTCCTTTCACTTGCCTTTTGATTCATGCAGTCCAAATCTATCCGAGGCTTATTATTGCCGGAGAGTTCATCATTGCGGCGAAACAATGTTGGTCCGCCAGAATTTATAGGGAAAGGGGTGTTATTGCAATGTGCAAAAAATATATATATATATGTTCCATTTGTTCTATTCCACTGATTGGAATTCGATGATTAGGCCGAGAGTTTGGAAATAAAGTGGACATGTTTTACGAATCACGTTCTCAAGTCTTCCAATTGAACATGGTCCTAGCACCTGAAATTGGGTGGTCCAAAATAGCGGTACTGATGATTTCTCAGGCATATTGATTGCAACAAGAAGAACTGACGAAATGCCTTGTCAAGGTGCTCACCATTTTTGCTCCTCATTGAATTCAAAACCAAAGCAGTAGAATGTAGAATTCGTCCGCCAATAAACTCGGCATTTGAACCGATGCAACTATTGTTGCATCTTCAAACCCTCCAAGAACACCGCCGCCCACGCTCGGCGCCTCCACGCTCTCCACCAAGATCCCCCCCACCAGCTTTCGCCCGCCGCTCGGCAAACGTCGGAAGACCAACCTGGGGAGTAGAACGTCTTGGACGTTCGGGGTCGGTTTGCGGTGAAGGCCTGTATTCCAAATCGACGCGTTGTCATGCATGGTTCACATTGAGATGTTCTATATGGCTGGGTTTTGGGATACTTGCTAAGTGCTGCTGATGAAATTCAAGCAAATTATCCCTTGTGCCTCTCTGGAACCGTCCGGTGTTCCACCCACTGTCCGGAATGCGCAACACTCCAGTTCTCTCATGCGCGAACCGAGCAGCTTCCGGTACTTGTTCCCCTCCAAAACGCTGCGGACGCACCAGTTCGCCTGACCGTCCTGGCGTTCGTCGCGCCGCGGTGGGTTGGAATAGCGATCACCCAAAGCGCCGAAGGTTGGAAGAGTCACCACTCAGGCGTGTCATCAAAGATATCGAAAAAAAACACACTCATGACAACTGACTCATGAATAAACAACTGCACACAAGGTTTTGTATGGTTTTGTCGTGTTAACGGAAACCTTTCTTGGATGCTTAGATGTAATTAATTGCAACCATCAAAAAGTCTCTGACTGACCTGACAGTCAAAGATCCGGTGCTGCCAGAACTCTGCATTTGCTCCAAAAGAGGCCACATTCACCTGAGTTTCCAAGGAATCTCAAAGGGATGGCGACTTGTCTATGTTGGTTTCCTGGAGCGTCTCAAAGTAGAGCTCAGCAAAAGGACATATATAAAGAACCAACTAGTAAATTCCCTTAGTAGACCTAATCACAGTATTCAAGAGTCTTCAGAGTTCTTTCCTTCCTAAACTCTGGCTGCAAACCTACGAACTTCGAATTGTGCCCTCTTCACAGTGGCAAATAGTCACACCTTGTCACACCCCTCTTCCAACCAACGGTCCGCTCCCATACCGCCTGACAACGACCGACAGGTGGCTCCCAAGAGCTTCAGTTTGGTTGAGAGATCACTGCCGTGGTAACCTCAGGTCGGGGCGGAAAGAACAAACATTTGGGGTTGTAAAGAACCAAGAAGCGTTATCAGTGTTGTTCTCCTCTTGTCATGTTTCAAGGGTTTTGCATCTATAGTGAATACTATGTGTATATATAAATATTGTAGTATATTATATTATAATACGTACACTGTTTCTATTTGTCGTTTTGCAATGGTTTGGAATCTATGACATATTTTATCTTATTTTATTGTATAGGACCTCTTCCGAAGCACAGCTGGGTAGTGTCTCCTAGTCTGGTGGCTTTAGATCCCATGAACGGGGAGCACACTATCCGTCATTTTACTCGCAGCTTTGGCAGTCTGCTCACGAATCTCGGAAAGGTTGATGTAGAAGGACTGGGCAGTGCTTCTAGAGGCATGGGGGTATACCACATCAAGCAGAAATAGTAAGTAACACATATGTTTGAGACATGTTGAGGGAAATCGAACGTCATTCATCAGAGTGGATTTGCTAAATAACGTTTTTGTTATCGTTCTGATACCGCTCTAGAGTGGACCTTGATTTCATGCCCAAGCATGGATGAATGCACAGATCTCCAAATCTATAAGTGGAACACACTGCAAGCAATCATCCCTGAATCAACATGTGCCCTCTATCGAACCATGCAATTACTGCTCCCACTAAACTGCCTTCTGGGGGTTGTTATACAACACCTTTTGGTGTTGCAAAAGGGCATCCTTTGGTCAATGATGCTGTTGTGGCCTTAGAATCCCGCAGTCAAACGAAGGTGTGGTTCCCGCAGTCAAATCATGTCGTTTTGCGCCATGTGGCGCAAGCCTGCGGAGGGACTGCCCAGTGTGCCAGCCAAGACTTCGGCCTGTGAACCCGTGGAGTCAGTCGTGAGTCAGTAGGCGAACCAATGAAGCAACGTGCTCGGAGGAACAAGGCCAGTGATGCCCAATGTTGGTCGTTGGGACCCGAAAAAGCAGGCCGAGCCCGACAAAGGGCGTGTAAAGAGTGCAAGTGTTCGGTTCAGAGTCATAGGCAACACGCGGACCAGTGTTCTTCCGTTTGAAGGCCGATCACACAGGCAGGGTTTGACCGTAAGCCAGGATTTGTTTCGGTGTGACCTAAGCGCTTGAAGGCTACTAAACCAAGATCTTCTGAGCAAGTTTCAATCGCTTGAGCTGGGATTCGAACATGCTGGGAGCAAAGGGCATCGCTACTAGGAGCAAGGATGCTACTAGGGGCTCCTGGCCGTACTATTAGGAGCAAGAAGCTAGTAGGGGCTCCTGGCCGTACTACTAGGAGCAAGAAGCTAGTAAGGGCTCCTGGCCGTACTACTAGTAACAATAACGTTTCAACCACCACCTCCCAACTGCGACGGCCACGAAATGACTCTACCGATTCAGCTTCTGGCGGGAGGTGAGAACAACTTGGACAACGGAAAAAATAACAGAGTTCAATCAAAACAAGCGTGATGCTTGGTGTTTGACCAAGTATTATAAAACAATCGGAAACCTTACCTAGAACAATCACAAAACAAGTCTCGATTGCTCTCGCACTGAGAACTCTGATCTTGCTGCTGCTGATCTTCAAAACGGGAAAAGGTTTGATCGCACTCCTCTGTTACCCAAACCCAGTGCTGAGCCACATCCAGAACAATCTGTCGGAAATAGCCTGCTATGGCCCAAAGTCGGGGGCCATTGATACCATCCTGTTCTTCTCTCTCAAGCTTGAACGCGGAGGATCCATGCTTGGATGAGAGACAAACCAAGCTGGACAATAAATGAGGTGGCCGCTCACGGTCTCTCATCCAAACATTGACAGTCTAAGGTTTAAGGTACTGATTTGCACCTTGTAGCCTTTGCAACAACAAAACAAAACAAAGTGCCAGTTCCACACGACAATCTTTTTGCAGTTTCTGTCTTCAACGCATCCGCTAGTAAAGTGGGCCAAAATTCAACAGTCGCTTCCATGGAACCTCAACAATTGTTGCAAGGATTCAATTATGACTTGCTCCACCGAGAGGTGATCTTTAATGCCCCGACATGAGGTTTCTGTACTATTTAAGCACTCGTTTGATGGTTTATACTCAGCAGTCTATTGCAGGAGTTGCCACATTGATCCAAATTAATTAAGTATAACACAGTATGGAAATTGTGGATGGGGGTCTCTTCACAAAGCAACTCCTGCACATCGATCCCTTCGTCTCATCGATCCCTTTGTCCGCCCATGCCTGTTCACTGCCCGGCTTCCAAAGGCCGTAGACCATCCTGAGCGACTTTTTTGAGTCGCGAGTGCCAGGCGATTGGTGGGGATAGGTGAGTGATGTGGAGTGTCCAATTATCAAAGGAGTTATATCTATATATATATATACATGGTTTCGAGACATGTTATGTCGCGGGACATTGGATAGAACACTTTTCTCTGTCCAGGTCATGATGACTTCTGTCTGATGTGTAATTAAGCGGACTCAACTAGCAGAATTTTTGGGCCGCATGGAATGCCAGCTCAATGCAATGAGCTGCGTGTGGGTGGGTGTGTGTGTGTAACCCTTGGAATCATAGGGATCCTTTTGGATTTGTCCGGTTTGCTTTTTCGCTTTGGGTCACAGCAGGGGGGCTGGTGGTTCATGCAAGTACCAGCCCAACGAAGAGGCTTGCATTGAACACTGATATCGGTGGGGACGCTCACTGACGTACCTGCAATTTTCCAACCTTTCCGTATGGCAAGAGGCTAAGCCAAGAACCTCACCGACTTGATTTTCTTGATTTTCTTGTTGCTGCAGACACGCGCGGAACGCCGTCAACTTGTCGCCTCGTCGGTTCGCGGCCTTTAACTACAGGAACTCAGGCCCCCTTCACCTGGTCTTTTCAGGATTTGGGTTTCTTAGGCTGGCGTGTGGCACCGCTTTCAGATCAGTACACCCTATCCTAAGTGTGTTTGGCCTCGTGCCAACCCGGGATGAGCCCGCAGAGTGCCTCCCGTGGACCCGTTGAACGGGGGTACGTCGTTATCTCCCCTGCCCGGAGATGTACGTGTCCGCAGCGGACAGTAGCTGGCTCATGCCACCAGAATTCCGATTTTGTCTCATCTTAGGAATTCCAAGCTGGCTTATGCCCTTACGTGACCGCAGCGGTCAAAGCAGCCAGCCATTTCGGCAAGGCACAAGGTGACCACAGCGGTCAAAGCCAGTTTCTAGGTTCATTGGAACCTGTCGGCGACTTAGGTGCACACACATCGTACACACCTTAACGAGGCAGGTCTTCCTAGGTTGTTGTAATGAGGTCTGGCTTCATCGGTTCCCGTCCCCTCCATTTGGTTCCCCTTTCACCCTTTCCCCTTCACACACTTCTTTTCCTCTTTCTTTTCATGTCTTCCCTTGCTTCATGTCCTTTCATCTCACTCCTTTCGTTCTTTTGCGCGTACAACGGTCCGGGCCTTAGTGTGTACGCGCACATCTACTTT